CGACCGCCGGCCGCCGGTGACCGGGGCGCCGCACTGCGGCCGCGCCACGCGGCGTCGGCAGCGCCGCCCGGCGGCCACCCCGTGTACCTGCCGACGGCCATGGAACTGGGAGAGGAGCCGCCCGTGGCGGGCTACCTGACCGGCGCCGCCAACTCCGTGAAGGACATCGTAGTGCACCCTCAGACACAAGTCAGTACCGGACAGGGAACTCTGGGTGCTGGGTTATGACTGGAGTGTTGTATTCTCTTGCAGTAAGCTCACGTAGCGCTAATTCCCGTGTCCGTTGAGTTCCTTAGCCTTTTTTGCGTATAATTATCAGGATGGAAGACGCTCAGCTCGCATTGGAGATAAATAATATCTTGGATATGTTCATGCCATATATCATGCCGTGTATTCATGACCAATGCTGTAGATGGCTGATGTCGCTGATTCACGTCCCAACCAGCATATGTCCTCACCCTCACACTCACTGACTGTCTATATTTGCCCATTTGTGCCGCAGAATATGGAGGGCGGTACGTGTGACACCTACACGGAGGAGCTGGACTGGCGGCGCGGCCCGCTGCTCGGCACGGGCAGCTTCAGCACCTGTTACCAGGCGCGCGACCTGCGCTCCGGCCACCTGATGGCCGTTAAGCAGGTGCAGCTGTCGACAGAGGCGGGCAGCGCCGACGAGCAGACGCTGCTGCAGGAGGTGCGGCTGCTGGCGCGCCTGCAGCACCCGCACGTGCTGCGCCTGCTGGGCGCCACCCGGCGGCCCGGCCTAGTCAGCCTGTTCACCGAGTGGGAGGCCGGCGGGTCGGTGGCCGGCCTGCTCGAGCAGTACGGGCCGTTCGAGGACGACGTCATCCGCCGCTACACGTGCCATCTGGTGGACGGGCTGGCCTACCTGCACGACAACCACATCCTGCACAGGGACCTCAAAGGTGTGTACCGAGACAGATAGAATAGGGGCTTCAAAGGTATGAAACGTCACTGAGGGAACAAAGGAACCTCTGAGGTTCGTACCGTTACTGGGGAAACAGCGAATTGATTACGTCTCATTGAACATGTTAGCTGATTTCGAATAGCGAAGCCCATATCTCTTGAAATTTTAAAAAATGTACTATCGGAACTGTCGAGCGGATGCTGCTTTTTGGTTGTTTATTGATCTCTTTAAACATGCGAACGCCCTAAATTTTGGAACTTATCCTCGCTCAGTTGACGCAGCACGTCACCTACCCGTTCACACCGCCACCTACCATAACCCCTCCCTAACACCCCCTGCTCCCTCCTCTAGGAGCGAACCTGCTGGTGGATTCGAGCGGTGTGACGCTGCGGATCGGCGACCTGGGCACGGCCGCCGAGCTGGGCGCCACGGCTACCCTGAAGGGCGAGTTCTCGGGCCAGCTGCGCGGCACAGTAGCCTTTATGGCGCCCGAGGTGCTGCGCGGGCAGCATTACGGCCGCTCGTGCGACGTCTGGAGCGTCGGCTGCTGCGTTATCGAAATGGCCACCGGCCGGCCGCCCTGGGACGCGCATACGTGCAGCAATCACTTCGCGCTGCTCTTTATGGTCAGTGGTTGAGATGGGAGTTGAACGGGTTTGGGGATGAGGGAAGTTCTTGGGTTGTGTTGGGTTGAATCGAACGTATGAAAGCGACTTCCTTAGTGGTGTATCATTCCTGAGCTACAGCGAACTTGTGTAATAAAGCGATAACTTGCGTCTTTCCCAGGCTTACTCTGCCTTTATCGCCCACGTCCTTCTACCTGTTGAGATTGTGCATCTAACTGACTTATCTTCTCTCTGTCCTCAGATCGCGAACAGTCCGAAGCCGCCGGAGGTGCCGTCCCGGCTGCCGGACGATCTGCGCGAGCTCGTCTCCGACTGCCACCGAATGGACGGCGAGAAACGGCCGGCCACGCGCGCCCTGCTCGACTACCCGTGCTTCAAGACGGTGCCCGACCTCTAACGCACCGACCGCCTAGCCGCCGCCGCCGGTAGCGCCGCCTGTCCTCTCGAGTTCTCACTCGCTGTATCTATACATAATTAAGTACAAACGTTGAGTTCATTCCAAAGAGGCGTTCAGTTGACTGGCACGAGCTTCTGGTCTAGTTCAAGTGAGTCCACCGAGTGAGAGGATCGCGCGCCGCCGACCTGCGCCCCAGCTCGGCAGGCAGTGCGCCGGGTAGTGGTGACCACACAGTCCGTCAGGCCGTATGGTAGTCTATGACAAGGTCATTATCGCCGGGCGGTTCTTGTATCAGCCGGTGGGTCGCCGCGGCGGCCGAAGTCTGAGTCGACGCCGGCATGCCGCGGCCCCCGCCGGCCTATTTATTTAGTTTGTACGGACAGGAGGCGGCGCCGCCGCCCGAGCCAGGGCGGCGGCGGGTGGGTAGTGCGCGCAGACCGGCCGCCTCCTGCCCCGGCTGGTCTCGTTCCGTGGCGCCGTCGAAACGGCGTTCACGCAGTTCTAAGTTATCTACCGGAGCTCCGAGTGTTGCGCCGCCCCCTCTGCCGGGGCGGTGCGTGCCGAGAGTACCGTGCGTTGTACTTACGTTAGTTTTAGTGGGCGTTGCCGCCGCCGCCGCCGCCGCTGCTGCCTCCGTTTCGTCACGGTTTTGTTTCGGGCGGCGCGGCCGGCCCTGCCATGGGACCAGCGATGAGTGACTGTGTCGCCTGTGTGACGAGTGCCAATACAACAGGGGCATTCCACGTCAAATCGAACAAAAATCGGCTGTTTTGCACCTTACCATCAGCGATTTCATTATAAATTTGTGAGCGAGTTCCTGTGTGGCCCTGGACATTACATTGGTGTTTTTTGTACATTCTGACCACAGGTCTTCTAAATATAGGGCATCAAATTTTTACAAAATGTTGCATCTTTATATTTTTGAACGACCATAACTTTGGTTGTACTTGTTTGATTTGAATGAAATAAACCTTACTGTTTAGGTAATTTCTTAAGCATTTGTTTAGAATTGCACCTACTTAAATATATGACCTTGAAATTTGCTTAACTCTGTTCTTAAGCACAAATATTGAAATAGCAAAAAACACGTCACCTTCGATTTGGCTCATTTTCATATATTTTATTGCCTACCATATTCTTAACAACATGTGAAAAAATTAGAGTGGGCCATTCATAAGTTTCGAAGAAAATTGCACATATGCAAAGGTATATTAGCACGCGCAGTGAAGGGGGAAGAGCGAATTTCGCCCACCCCTCCTGTTTTCCGCCAATATCTCATAAGATTAATGCGAAATTAATTATGGCTACCTGTCAAGAATTGAATTGGACATCTCATCGTGCAAGCAATAAGAAAATCGGTTCACAACTGTTCTAGTAATAGCGGTGTAAAGTGAACATCCTGTCGCCGCAGCGACGCGGCGACTCGGCAGCCGGCGCCGACCGCTACGCGCCGCCTGAATTGTAGACTGTGCCGGGACGGAACGGAACGGTTCCGTCTTTACATCGCGCTCCCTACCGCTGATTACGTTCGATTCACGTCAAATTTTGTGAGAAGACTAAGAAATGTACAGGCAATCTTATGGTGAAAGAATTTTGAAAATCGGTTGGTAAACAATTGAAATATGAACGTGTAAACACAAAATTGTGATTGCTGCGTTTCCCGCATCGGCCGAGCCCGCCTCAGCCGGCGACATGTTACTAAATAGCAGGCCTCTAACTGCCATATTTATTATTGAATTAACTAGAAATTCCCCATACATACTAAAAAATGTATGTTCTTTCGTATAGTGAAGATCAAAAGACGTGAAGATATCGTTGCGTGATAATGTTTTCGTTGAATTTACTTCATGATGCATTTCCACACGGCTCAAAATTCACCGCAAAATACCGTTTGCCTGAGACACTTTTGCTATGGAACGTGAATGCTTGACTACGATGACTATGCATTTCCATTCTCGCAGAGTTTGGGATATCACTAATCAGCAATCATTCATTTCAGAAAGTGTGCACAAGCAAGCATGTCTTGACTCTGTCTTTCAAGGTCACGCGCGGTTGCGTGATGTTGATGCATGAAAACGGCGTTTGCCGCGAAAGTTATGAATGGCCCACTCCAATTTTTTCACAGATGGTTAGGAACATTGTGACGGACATAATATGTAAAAATTACTCAAATCGAAGGTGACGTGTTTTTTGCTATTTAAATTTTTCTGTTTTAATTCAAGGTCAAATGTATTTCAAGGTCACTTCAATTTAATTTTATAATTAAAAATCAAAGCCTTATCGATTGCCTATAAGACCCTGTTAATATCATTTTGATACCAGAAAAGGAACCAGAAATATAGCCATTTAAAAAATTGATGTGTGGCATTTTTCGCTATATTCGATGACCTATATCTCAGCGATACGTTATCAAATTTCGAAAATATTATACGTAACTCAGTTTTGAACCATGCCCAGTCTGCCTACAAATTTTCAGAAAAATCGAAGGGGGTGACGGATTTCGGTGTTTGATTTGACGTGGAATGCCCCAACACGAAAGGGTGACCTGCCGCGTCTTCCCTCAGATGACGTCACACGTCTGCCACCGGTGACGTCACGGGGCGGAAATCGGGCGGGCGCGGCGCTGTCGGCGCACGGCCGGGTGCTGGAGGTTTTCCGGTGGAGAATTCCTCCCCTGTCGTGCTGCAGGATAGCTGGTCAGCAGCTGGCGCGGGTGACGGGGAAACCGGCTGGGCCGGGAAGGAAGGTGTGTTTAAACCCACACACGCTCCGAGGTATGTGTGCAGGACAGTCGGCGACACTGGAATGCCCGGACGGTGGCCGGGAAATGGGAAACTGGGGGACATGACACGAGAGAAACTCTGATCGGGCGTCGACAGCCGAGACGGCCAGTGCAGTAGACGGATGGGAGGAAGCAGTTAACCTGTCATAACGTCAATGAGGGCGCTAGGCCCCGGTTTGACAATGATCTGTAATAGCTTATTTTCATACCATGTTGCCCATGGTTTTGAAACAGTGTAGTTTCAATACGGCTCGGCCTTCAGCTTAATGTTATTCAATGTGATAATTTTATTTGTATTTTCTGTGACAACGGATACAAGCATGACAATGACTTAAAAAATGTTGCATTATTGCTTGGAGATGGCATTTCCAGGGTTATTACAACCTCTGCACGGTTGAAAGACGACCTATAGCTACTTAGCAGACACTTTCACATCACAACGAACGGCCGTTCGGTTCAATAAGAGTGAATCGAAACAGAACACATTTAAAAGCGACATAACACTTCATCCACCATCACCCAGAGCAAGGCATACAATAACGGTATCAATATACATCCATATGCAGGGCCCATATTTCGCACTTTCCGACTGCAAACTTGCAGCGTAATTTGCATAATTCGATAACTGCTCAGATGTTTTACGGTGACTATGGTCTAGGCAGTCTAGCTTCTTTTTTGAATGAGGTGGCCACATTCGAAAGAAAAGAAAACTAGCACCCAGCAGTCACGAACGCAATATGTGGGGCATCTATTTCAAAATATCACACAATTTACCGGGAAAACTACATGTAGCATGCCTTTCAGAACGGTGTAGCACTACTTTCACATCAAGAATCCTCTCGGCTTCCATGCAGCGCCGATGACAAGCTGCGCTGCCAAAGTCATGTTCTCGTCTTTCTCAGAAGACCAACCCGTCTTCGACTGTCTTCCCACTGTCCATCGTGTCTCACATCGGCACCAGCTCGCCGTCAGCCCAGCTCAGCTCAGCTCAGCGTGCAGTGACGGCCCTGGTGCGGTTCGGGAATCCTCTGGCACTGGTACGCCTCGCGGAAGGCCGGGAAGTTGTACACGAAGTTGTTGATCATCTCCGGATGCGGGAACTCCTTGAAGGCGCTGTTGAGCAGCACGCGCAGGTAGGGGTTCGTGTTGCGGCACCGGCTCTGGGCGTACGTCAGGAAGAACAGCTGCTCCGGCGTCTGGCCCTGCGGCGGACAGGGGGCGGCACATCAGCCGCACCGGTCCACGGAAGTCGACAAAGAGCCTCGACAAGCCGACAACCGGAAGTCGACAAGGCGGCGGCATACCGAGAGATGAATGCCATTCAATGAATTATCACTAGTTAGGGCAAGGCCCTAGGGCGCCAAGTGAATTATATCGAATCAATACACCACCGAAAACGTATATAAAACATATATGGGATAAGTCGCGACCGCTAAAAGGCGCGTTTAAAGTCACAAATACGTCTATGCCTGGATATGAAATGGTGTATTTCATAAACATTGCCGTTTTATGAAGTAAGATATTATACGGTTGCCAAAAAAAACATTGCCGTTCTTACCGCCTTTGCACTCCACTCGTAAAAGCTGTTCATTAGTTGCACAGAGCACGGTTTATACTGACCTCTGTGCCCGGCAGAACGCGCTGCGGCCCGTCCTCCTTCTGTATGTGCTTGAAGAGATCGTATGACAAGATGAAGGCCAAGTGCTCCGCCTGGAGATAGTTGGCCGACTTCCGAGGGTCGAGAGGCACCCGGGATCTGCAGCACCAGTCGGCAACAGCAGCGTGTCACGCGAACAAAGGGATTAAAAGATAACTAGATCATTTGCAAGGTGTCTGCTTATTCCTGCGGGTAGATGACATGCTTGAACGCAAGCTTGAACGTATACGTTCGTCATAATGACGATGCTACAAAGATACTAAATCAAACGTGACTTGGGTTCAATGCATCGCGTGTAACGGGTGACCACATACGAGGAACAAGTCACGCGACATCTAAAATCAAGGCCAAGGTAGTCGAAATGTCAGCGAATAGAAACGGGCACGAAGAATCATCAAAAACAGCGATAAACCGAGCTCAACTGAAAAGGCTAAGCAGTCCGACTCCCAACCGTCATGCAGTACCCAGAATCCAGAGCGTGCACCAACGAAATGAGCTGTTCCATTTTTGAACACCGCACTGACACAAGCAGGGATGCGGAGCCGGAGCCGGAGTCGGAGCCGGAGCCGCCGGAGCCGGCATATTTTGCCCGGGGCCGGAGCCGGAGCCGGAGCCGTGAAACAATATAGCCCGGAGCCGGAGCCGGAGCCGCCAAAAAAGGGGGCGACTCCGGCTCCTTTTTATTTTTTGAAGAGGAAAAAATAATTGACCTAGTTCGGTTTGACAGTACAAGGCAGTAAAACATATGGTACTGTCATGGGCCATCAAGTGAATGAAAAAAGCCGAATATCCCCAGTATCCCACAATCAACTTCCTGTCTGCTCCTCCCCCCCCCCCCCGTCTACTGCATCCCCAGAACATGAGGACCGGTCATCAGGTGACGGCCATTGTTTTGAAGCCAGTGCAGTGGACTGCGACTCCCAGCACCGTCTCTTCCGACCCCACCTCACCCCCCCCCCCCCCCCCACCCCTCAATGCAGCCGAGACGGGTGTCAGCTTACGATGCAGGTTCAGTGAACTCCGATTCGCGGCGACTGCGTTTCCAATGCCATCGCTTCCTAGTCCTTTGTTCTACCAGTTCTCTCCGAGGTGCGTTTGCGCGGGGACGCGGTGAGCCGGTCATGGCCAAGAGTAACGCGTATAACCAATCCAATTTTTCTTCCACCCGCATTTAATTGATTGCATAGGGGATATACTGAGTCGGAGCCGGAGCCGCCGGAGCCGGAGCCGCCGGAGCCGGAGCCGGACCATTTTACTCGGAGCCGGAGCCGGAGCCGGAGCCGCCATAACATTTCACCCGGAGCCGGAGCCGGAGCCGGAGCCGATTTTTTTCTCCGGAGCCGGAGCCGGAGCCGGAGCCGTCTGAAATATCCACGGCTCCGCATCCCTGGACACAAGTCCCTCCCATTCAAAAACCATCCACGCAAACGTCGGTCTGGGGCCGGTTTGGCTGCCCGGGCTATTCAGCTAGACACGCCATGGTTCCAGTAGCCGGTATTTTCCCTCTGTTCCCCGGCTGCTGGCCACCGTCCCCCCTGGGTGAAGGGGGGGGGGGGGGCGGCCCAGTTCACCCGCCCGGCAGGACGGCGCCCCAGCGACTCACTTTGGGTGCCGCGGATTGAGCTGAGCTCACTTTGGACCAATGTGAGGTGGCATTTTGGAGAAAAGGTGCACTGCACAAGTGCAAAGGTGCACTTTCGGCGCGTTCCGGAGCCGTGGACCGAGCTGAATTCACTTTGGAGCGAGGGTGGACTCATTTTGGAGCGAGGGTGGACTCCCTTTGGACCGAGGCCGAACTCACTTTCGGTGCGTTCCGGAGCCGCGCACCGATGTGAACTCGAAGCTGCGCTGCACGTCGACCGTGTAGCCGCCGAGGCTGTCCATCAGGCAGAGGCCGTACTGCCGGTAGCGCGCCGTCGTCTCGGAGTCCCACCAGCTCGGCAGTCTGGGGCAGAGACGGACACACAGATACAGCAGGGTCAGTGGACGTCCGTCCTCACAGAAACAGCGGACAAAAAGCTGCCGGCGGACCTGAAACTACTAACAGAGTCAACAAAAACATGTTTATGAAATTAATTACTAAGCAGGCTACCAACACATCCGAGAGACAAGGATGAAAATGGTCTGGCAGTTCTTTACCGGTAGGAACCCTAACACGCCCAATACGGTACGCCGTAACTTATCAGCGAGACCCGTAAAGCAAGGCCCTGCATACCGTAAAGGGGTACGCGATTGTGCCACTAGCAAACACTTTGTTTTTCCTTGCTGGTTGCCGCGCAAGTGATACCGCATTTCGTAATAAATGCACATACCTATGCCAGCACATCAGATGTCAATGATTGTAGTTTTTCAGCGAGTTCGATATCTAGGCGAGCGAGTCGAGCTGCTTCCCATAAGTGGTGGCTGGTGGGTGGATGAAAACATCACACAACCCGACAGACGGCGGGCCTGTGACCGACATTCCAGCTCATTAGGATGTTTGGTTATGGAGGTGAATGTACTTTTTATCTACATCTGGGACACACATAATTGTTCGTGCACAATGGCGGTGTGGTGAGGTCGAAAGAGCCGGGGTTCATTCCCCTCAGTAATGCATGACACCCCGGTGTACTGCGCGCAGTTGATCATATCGTGTGGGCGTTAGTTTTCACATTCCGATCGGGTGCCGTCATTTATGTATCCCTTCATATGGGGCATGGAGGTGGTAGATACAGATCTACCGGCCATTCCTCCCCTGACAATGGCCGATCATACCGTATCGGATCCAGCCGTGGTGTCAAAACAAGTTGAACGTTACCGATCTCAGCAGCTGACAGGGCACGGTATACGGTTCGGACTGCCATGGGCGCGCCAGGCCAAACACGAAACAGCCCGCCTCAGCAGTCAGCACCCCATGGGTCGGCACCCCGAGACGACACCCCACCGTCTGACGTACAGGTTTTCCAAAATCCCGGTCCCGAGCCGAGCGCCCCACCGTCCCTCCGCCGGGGTCCAACATCCCAGCCTCGACCCGGGCGCCCGCCGTCTGACCTGTAGGTCCTGTGGCGCAGGAAGAACGGTCCGGCCAGCTCCGCCAGCACCAGTGAGCCGAACGTGGCCGCATTCACGTAGTCGGGGCTGTGGTGGCTGAACAGCGGCACCTGCAGGCCGCCCGGCGGCACGCGCAGCCGGTCCCGCACCGGGTTGTAGGTCACCTTGACGTCCGTCGTCGCGTCGCCGTCCACCCAGATGGCATCCTCGTCGTCACCGTCGTCATCGGCGTGGTTGTTGCCGCTGCTGGCGAGTCGGGCGGCGTTGGCCTTGAGTTCGCCGGCCTTGAAACGGTCGGCGTTGAGCAGGTTGGTAAAAAAGTCCCGCCCGGTCAGAGTCAGGCCGGCGTAGTAGTTGTTGAGCCGCCGCTCGTCGGTCACCCACGGCGCGTGGCCGTACGAGACGCCCATGCTGCCAAGCACCGTCTGCGACTGGGTGCGTGAGTCAGGCGTCATCCAGTCAAAGCTGCGGCCCAGCTGGTCGCGCACGCGGCCCACCATGCGGCGCGCGGCCGCCACGTTCGACTCGCCGATGTGGTCAGCGATGAAGAGCGCTCGCAGGGCGCGGGGGAAGTAGCGGCGCAGCAGGTCGAAGCAGATGGCCTGCCGCGGCCGGGTGGCCAGCCGGCGCGTGACAGTGTCCATCTCCTGGGCCAGCACGGCGTAGATGGGCCCGGCGGCCGGCAGGTACTGCCGGATCAGGTTCCACTGGATGTAGTCGTTTAACAGCGAGGCATTACTGCGCTCCACGATGGCGTTCAGATTGGTCATGTACTCCTTACTGGGCACCTGGACACTGGACGAGTTGGCCACGACGTTCTTACCGAACAGCGAGTCGAGAAGACGGCGCCACTCGAAGCGCGGTGACAGTCTCAGCAGCGCGTCCAACGACATCACATTGGCCGGCGCAGGCAGCACGTGACTCTTGGTGGGCATAGCCTCCACCAGCTGGGTCTCCAGGTGGAGCACCGAGTCGGCCATTCGCTCCGGACAGGTGGCGTTACAGGTGCGGTTCTGAGCCACGTCGGCAGGCAGCTCGGCCTCCAGCAGACGGAGCACAGCCACGATCGACTGCCGGTAGGAGGCCCGCGCCGCTCGCGCCTCGCTTGTATCGTCCGTGTACAGCATCTTATCCTCCATGCCCAGCCGGGGCGGCGATATGAGCACGCGGCCCAGTGTCTGTAGCCAAGTGATGGAGAAGAACAGTCGTAGTCGGTTCACCTCACGAGTCTGAACGAACTTATCGATAAACTCGAACTTCTCGGGATCGAAAGTGCCGAACAGGTCGGTGCCGCCCAGGCTGTTGACCAGCTCGCGCAGCCGCTCGGCGCTGCTGTTGCCGTGCGCCGCGTCCATGCATGTGCGGTAGAAAGTGCGCACCTTGCTCACCGCCGAGAAGTCGTTGTGGAACTGGGAGCGCTCGAGCAGCTCCTCGATGCGCAGCTGGTTCTCGGCTTCCAGCACCTCCTGGATGCCGTAGGAGATCCTCGTATCCAGCGGGTGCACGTCGTCGAACCGGCCGCACGCGTACTCGTAGAAGTCGGTGCACGGCGACGCCGAGGTGTTGATGTAGCCGGCGATGTTGGCCGCCTGCTGGAGGCAGCCGGTGGCGCGGCACTCGGGCGGCGGCGGCGGCGGGCCGGCGGTCGCAGCAGCCAGCACGGCGCACCACACCAGCAGCAGCAGACAGAGCACGGCCAGGATGGCGGCCAGGCCGGCCAGCACCGGTACCTTGGGCACCTGGTAGCCGCGCACCAGCCACACGGGCCGCGCCGAGCCGCCCTCGCTGAACAGGAACCGCTTGTCGTTGGTGGCCTCTGGCTCGTCCACGGACGTCATGTGCAGGGTGGCCGGCTGGGCGGGCGCCGCCGTGATGCCCTCCTCCATCCCGCTCATCGCGCTGACGGACCTCCGCCGACTGGACACTCACAGAGACTCACAGCACTCCGAGTGGCCCGCCGAGCGGTCACACCTGGGCCAGACACAGCCACCGACTGACCACCACCTCACGGAGAGCGTGCAGTGCAGAGCCGGCGGAGCAGACCCGGCCGCGGATGGCTATCTCTGCCGGCAGCACGCACCGAGCTGGCGGACGGCGACTACTGAGAGCGGCGTGCGCCGTGTGCCGCCGCGGTGTCCCCGGCCCATGCACTGGCGGTCGGTCCGTGTCCGGCGCGCGCTGCGCCGTTTTCCCGCCGGCCCCACGCGGCGCGGTCCGGTCGTGCGGCCCGCCGCGCCGGCCGGTACCGTCTGAGTCTGGACAGCGCGCTCCGCGGCCGGCCAGGTGGCCTTGGCAGTGCAACACGCCGCGCAACGACTCGGCGCGGCCGGGCACCGAGATCCCAACAACCGCCACTTCTCAATTCAACATGGAAACAGCAGACTGCAGACAACACCGATCCGAGCGAGCCAGTGGACCGGCACGGCTCGCGGCGGTACTCCCCTCCATCCCGAGCCCGGAGTTACTTCACGGCGCGCCTCTGCGGTCACGTCAGACGAGTGTGACCTCACGTCGGCTACCATGACGCCGGCAGGTCCTCGGTGTCCGAGCCCTCGACCGTAGCCGGCACGTGATGAGAGAACGCCGGCCAAGCCGAGCTCGAGCCGCCACGCTTTCGCGTGCGATTTCCGCGTGCGAGCAGCACGATTGTACGACCACTGCGTTGGAGGGTTTCAGGAAGCCTGACAGATTGATAAGAGCGTGCAGAGCTCAGCTGGAAACTGCCCAAAATGGGGCACACCACCTGCACACCACGCAAATCCACGTCATGCTGATTATAGGAATTATCAAGTGAGAAACTAAAAGACCGGTCTAACCACCAGCACCATATTAATATGAAGATACGTCAGGAACAAAGCCAGTGACGCGAGCTGGAGTTACAAATGACGTAGCCAACGAAACGTAGCGGCAGGTAATCATGCGTCCTTTATGTGATAATGCGTGGTTCACACCTGATCCGTAATGACGCCGTAACCGTTACGGACGTAATGAGCTAGAGATTTCTCAAGATTCCCCAAGCATTGTGACTTTTGTAGACGAAGTTGAAATGTGGCAACCAGTCGCCGTAAACTGGCAGCGTCCACCGTACTCGTTACGGAACGTAACAGAAGTTGGGAAAATTGAACTTTTCGGCTCGACCGGCCGCCGTAATGACTTTTATCGACATGTATCTCCAAAAGGGTTTGACTGTTTGATGAGCGGTCTTCTTTGGGGAGGGGCTGCATCCTTTCTACCCTGAACTGTGCTATTGATATCACTCATGAGTGCCTGTTACAGCACGTGTCACGTGCGACGAGAGAGGTTCCAAAAGAGCTCGTCATAGCATAACTCGGGAACGGCTGAATAGAAACGGTTCAATATTTGTTTGTTGTTTTGGCTGGATGCACACTACACATCCCGTGGCCTTAGGACGATTTCGAATTGCCTCAGCGCGTGCGCACATGCGCACCCCTTTTTCACATCTCGGGATTGGCTGTGCCAATCGCGCCCATATTTGGTATGCTGAATGACATCATGTTTATATGCAAATTGCACAGGTTGACAAAAGCATTGATCTGCACGTGCGCACGTGCGTGCCCCTTTTTCATATCTGGGGATCGGCTGGGCCGATCGCGTTCATATTTGGTGTGCTGAATGACACCATGTACATATGAAGATTGAACAGATCGGCAAAGGCATTGGTCTGCACGTGCGCGCGTGCGTACCCCTTTTTGGCATCTTGGGATCGGCTGGGCCGATAGCGCTCATATTAAGTATGCTGAATGACACCAAGTTTATTTGCAGATTGCACAGGTCAGCAAAAGCATTGATCTGCACGTGCGCACGTGCGCACCCCTTTTTCATATCTGGGGATCGGCTGGGCCGAAAGTGCTTATATCAAGTAAGCTGAATGATAACATGCTTATATGTAGAATTCACAAGTCGGCAAAGGTATTGATCGGCACGTGCGCACGTGCGCACCCCTTTTTCATATCTCGGGATTGGCTGGGCCGATAGCGCTCACATTTGGACTTTGGTATGCTGAATGACACCACGCATATAAAGTATGCAGATTGCAAAGGTCAGCAAGAGTATTGGTCGGCACATGCGCACGTGCCCACCCCTTCTCACATGTTGCGATTGATTGGGCTGGTCTGGGTAGCGGGTAGCGGTCTGCTCGTGTGCAAGTGCGGACCTTTCTACTTGAGAAAAAAAATCGTATCAACACGCCGACTGATTTTTAGGCATTATTTCATGTAGGTATGCCTTCAGTATGTCACAACCTACTTTGTATCTCTTGAGTGACGTACATAAAATTCATGTTCCGTAATTACATTTCACTCGTTTATTTAAAGATAACATTTCCTTCGTAGGCCTAGCCTAGCCCTAATCATGTAGGTATGTTACAGGTCAAGTTCAAAGTCCACAAAATAAATTCCAATGCATAGATTCTCGTGCCACGTCTTTTATACAGTTCTGAGTCAACTTCGCTGCCCATATTGCCCCTGCTAGACTTGATGCTTGGACGGACACTGCACCGCCTCTTCGCAAGCCAATTGAGCAAACTGTACGATGCGTACGTTGATCTTGCCCATGGATAGCAGCGATTCACGAGTGTAGAAAATGAACTTCAGCGTTGACCAGCATGGGCATGTTTTCTTGTTTATGTCAAAAAAGGATAAAAGATTCTCTGTATAGTATCATGCCCACAATTGTAGTTAATTAACAATGATATGCCTCCATACAATTATAAACCACTATGCAAAGTGATAGGAATAAATTTAAAAAGAAGAGAGCAAAACCAATTAAAATTCTGACGCACCGATATTAAGAAACAGCTCTTAGCTTTAGCCCATTTTTCGATTGTTTATAAGCAAAATAGTTTTGGCGCACTTGATTCGAAGGACGGCGCTGAACATGGCAATTCCCGGTGCACACCGAATCCGTAACGAATACGGCGTTACGTCGCCAAAAAATCGAACTACGCATGCGCGTTGCATTGTGCCCTCCACTTTCAAGATATTATTTAATCGCCGACGTATTCATTACGGCACGTAACGGTCATTACGGATCCGGTGTGAACCACGCTTAAGTGAGCATGAAACTACATGTAGAATCACGACGTAACATGTTGCACGTATATGCCGAATGCATACAGTTTGTAAACGATACCCGGTTCTGTGACCGACCATCCCAGCCACTTTTGCTACTAGCTGCATTATTTATTGCCCTACGAATCGTTCCACGAATCGACGGTATCGACCCACGTTAAAGGGACCCTCCCACCTTCAAAAAAGTTTATGAATTGGCATGAAAGTGATGTCGCTCGGTTCAGAAAGAGCGGAAACGAATATCTACCAAATTTCACCGAAAAGTATTCACCGGTTTTCAAGATATAAGACTTTTACTTTTGTTTACTTTTTGGGATCTCCGCTGTTCCTAGCGACTTTATTTGGAAGCAATAGTTTGGCAGCTGAAAGTGCGGCACTTGTTGCGCGCAAAGCAGCATATACCACCGCGTGCTACAAAACGTTTTAGTCAAACATTTAAAAATCGTTAGATATCTGCGCTGACGTCACACATTCAGAGGGGTATTCCTATGCATTAGCCCCTCTGAATCAAAATGCTGCAATTTTGAAATTCAATATTTCCGATTTAAGGCATTTATCGATGTTGTGAGTGCCGAAACCGGTAATTGTGAGCCAGGGACCCCATTTTGGCTATCTCAACTCAAATCTAATGTTAAGGTGGGAGGGTCCCTTTAATCTGAAATACCTACCTAGAGACACAAAACAAGGAATGACGAAAAACAGACATTCAACAGGCTACCAGCAGCCATCGTAACTAGTGATCAACATGGCATGCAATAATACGACCGGCAACAATTTATGTAATCTGAAAGACACACCTTTGTACCGTGCGACGTGCAGGCGACAATCTCAGATAAACACCGGAAAGTACAGCCCTCTGCAGACTGCGTGGTAGGTATTCTTTTTTCGACAAAACCGAGAATAACTCAAAGACTAAGTTATCGGTCGGTGGGATCTCATTGCATGAAGATGCGCCATGCTCCACCCCCTCGATTGGTTATATCACTGAACGAATTATACAACTAGTGTAGCAACAAAATGCAAAAGTTTGTTTTGGGGGCAGATATAAACTTTCTTGTATTGTTGCCAAACCAGCTGGAAAATGTATACCAAAATAAGCCCAATCTAAGGTGCGGAGTCTCGCACGTCTTGCTGTTACGCTTTCCGAGTGGCCAATAGCATTGTATTCGCGTTATTCCCGGTTTTGTCGAAAAAAGAATACCTACCACGCAGTTTGCAGAGGGCTGTACAGGGGCCGACAGACGAGAGGAGACCCGCCACTGAGACATTTGACGGTCATGACTGTCATGAAATCCGACACGGGATCGACTCGACTGGACGAGCCGACTCCGTATCTCGGAGAACGACCGTCGGCCGCCCGATCGTCGGCTGAGGGCCTAGGATCAGCCGACGGCGCCCGCCCCGTCGCTCGGGGCAACTGCCGCGTACGATGGACGGTAGAGTGCGACAAAAAAGGCCATGCGATACGATACTCCAACTGTGTGCTTTTTGGCGTTAGCCTTATCGCTGCCGGTGTGAGCACCGAGTAATGTGTTATGTAATTATACGCATGCCATGGTCCATGGAAGTGAACTGTATCGTACGGCAGGAGACAAGTCATACGAACTATTTACACGACAATCACAATGAATCCATAATGGTGTGACGTGCGATGGATCCAGATAACATCTGTTCCACTTTCAGCAGTCAGCCCCTCCCCTTCCCACCTTTTGCCCTGTGGTCTGTTGACTAACTACGAGCCATGGTTCAGAAGCGGCCTTCAGGGATGGTCGAACCCACGCTCGACGTCCTGCGCAGCCAACGCCTGGCCGACAGAAAAACGGCTCCCCGTCCGCCTTTTTTCGCCTAACCTCGTTACCAATAATCCGCCCATTGTCACGTACCAATGAGTATGTCGTAACGACAACGTTTGCTGGGCCTTGCCAACCAGGGTATACATGTAGAAGAGTGACACCTCTGCAGAGGTGTCAGTCTTCTGTCATCGGCGGGAGGCCTTTGGCAGATGGTAAAGAACAGACGCCACATGAAATAAAACAGAAATCATCGGGCGCCACGTTTAAGTGCCTACGTAACTTACCTATACGACCTTGCGACGAAACCAATGACCCTCCTAAAAATGCGCAGCTTCCTAGCTTTCCTTTGTCAACCCTTGGTCAACAGAAAGTAGTTGGTATTAGGTTAGGAGCCCACTGCCGAGGAGAGCGCATGAGAAAACGGCCAGATCACTCCATCCCAAGGCTTCTGTCCCAAATCCAAACCATGGGTAGGTTTTTACTCTCATCAGCGTGCCAAGAATGGCGGGACTGAAATGGATAGGTCATCCGGATCTCTGGGTCATCTCTGGTTCCCCGGCTTCGCCCCTATAAACGGCTGCGGACTGAAAAACAGGGGCCGTATTCACGTCGATCATTTTCGTAAGAATTTTCTTAAGTTTGACCTACTTCTTAAGTAAGTTTTTTTAATCACGTGAACTCCGTCGATAAAAACTTACGAAGTGTCCACGTGAATACCAAATTATACTTATGAAACTTATGAAAGAAAATCGACTTACGAAGTCGACGTGAAATACGGCCGGTCTGCAGTAGGTACCTGAATACATAATCTGAAAACATATCTTGGGTAGGCACGAATTACGATGCGAGTCAGTGGGCTCATGGTGGCGGACGGTGATCGGGCTCGGGTCGGACTCGGGGCCCACCGGTCACTCCCACGGTCGGGCGCCGGCTGTCAGCTACGAATATTCAGCTTATATACCTAGCCTTGGGCTATTTTGACGGTATATACAAGCCACAGCCTCGATTCTGAATCCGTCGGAAGCAGGGATCGATGACCCCGGGGCAAGAAT